AAGGTAGGAATCGAGAAGGAAGGAAGTTGGGTAATAAGACCAGTAGAACTTAGAATTTTTATCGTTTGAGTATTCGTTTGAGCAGTTGAAATGTGAAGTATTAGCGGGAGAGGTGTAAAGTTCAGGGAAGCCGTACTCATGCTGACAAATCCTCCTGCACCCTCCAGCGTATTCCCCTGACTAGAAGCGACCCTTCTAGTCAGCAGAATACGCTTCATTTAGCATTGCGGTATCCAGCTATTACACTAGTCCCTTTGAAGAAAAGCAAATGAACGTGAGAACGACGTATTTTTCTTTTCACAGCAATAAATTTTACTGTGTACGTTCAGTCCTTCCCCTTCTCTTTAAATGTCGTCGTTGGCCTTCAGAGGTGGCATCTGTTGTATCGCCAAACCTGTTAGCAGTTCTCCTAGGGGCTTCCCTACGATTCTGAAAAACTGTTTCTTGAAATTCTCATTGATTTTGTGATCTTTCTTTTTTTTATTTTTGTTCTTCTTTCCTCTCAATCTTCCAGTCCGTTCGGGAGTTTCCATCCAGTCCTTTGCATTTTTTTCTGAGCTCTCCAGATCGACCGCAGACCTAAAATCATCAAAATCAGTCCGTCAAAGCGCGAAGAGGCGTTAGGCATTGAATCTGATCTAGCTGGGCTTTGTAGATGAGAAAAGCTGCTCTTCGCGCATATTCCACATATTTTCTATGTTTTTAAGAAGAATCATCATCTCGTGCTAAGTCCAAATGTAAACAACATTTTCTGAATAGGCAGAACATCCCGCTTCGTTCTTCCTCTCTCGATTCCAGTAAGTGCCATGCTTCACTTCCGAAATATTGGTCTCTGGTTGTGAGGCATTTCAACAGTAATTGAGTAATAATGGAGCTTGATAAGTCTATTTCGCTCTTGCCCGAGTGTTGGTGTTATTTACTTTTAAGAGCCTCTAGAAGTATTGGCGGAACTACTGGTTCCATGCCATTTTTTTTTTCGAGCATTCCTTTGATCTCTGGTTATCCCTGAAAATATACTGGGAAAAGGCTCGATGTCCAGCCTGTTCAAATAGCGTGTCTACAGTAACCTCAGGGTAGCAAATAGATTGCTCCACAATTTGTAGGGCATAACACCGGACCCCCTTTTTTCGTTTGGATCCCAAATTAGGTCGTGTAGCGCATAACACATTGTTTTACCACCTTTGTTTAAGTTTGACATTTTTGGCTTTCAAATATTTTATAATGCAGGTTTTCTGTATACATGGATTCACCATGGTTCCTCTCATTCCCTCTCTTCCATTCGTACCAGCTCATCATCCTCTGAAAATGCCAGTTTTTACCCTTTTCTCTACACAGTTGACGTAGACGACATGGGAACTGATTCATTGAGTGATAAGGGTGATAGTGTAATCAGAGGTTCTCGAAAATGAATCATCATGCGAATAAAGCAGTAGGTACCAAGAAAATCATGCTAAATGACAGTTCCTGCCAATGACAGTCCATGAAGATTCCCTGCATGGTCATTAGGTCCAGAGATTTAGGCTCTACACCCTAGAAATAATGTGGCATTCGATGGTCCACTACTATCGCAAGGGAGATTAGCTATATCTTCGCGTGACTCAAGGATATGCTAACCTTTTGACACAGATTTTCTATTTTTGTGTAGGCAGAAATCAGAGAAACAGTGTTCGTGAGGTGTGGCTGAAATTAGATCTGAACAAGACGTATTTGAACACATTTCTTTTACACATGTACCTCTTCAATTACTTGTTTCCTTTTCTATGTCTTGCACTCTCTTCAACAATTTCTGGTTCTAAATATTTCTCGCCTGAGAAGAGTTTTGTTTTTCTGCCCTTCCGACCCATCCAAATTCTCGATATCAATCGGCTTTTGTTATTTCTAACTGTTTTGACATCCTTTAGTAATTCTAGTTATCGGATACAGCGATTCGGTGCCGTATACCTCTTGAATTTTGACTGACTGAGCTCTTGAAAACCTCTTGAGTATTGTGAGGTGTTCCTATACCCAAGAAGGTGGGATGCAGAAGCTCTCCTGTGCGAGTTTCCACATCTCGATTTTCGGAATTGCTCTTTCAGTTAAACGAGACATAGCTCGTTTCACGTTTAACTGAAGGAGCAATTCCAAAAATCAAGATGTGGAAACTCGTACAGGAGAGCTTCTGCATCCCACCTTCTTGGGAATAGGAACACCTCACAAATAGCTACCATTATATGAGCAGAGTATCCCGGGATACGCTTTGCGCCTAGCTTCATTTGGTTTCATAAAAAAAANAAAAAAAACGAAAGAAATTCATCGCCGCAAAAATGGAAACGACAATGGAACCAATGTCCTTACCGGTAAATGCTAGGTTATGGAACGTCCAGGAAATCAATTTACAACAGTGTACTTGGTGTGTTGAGTTCTTGTCTTTTGCAAGCTGACCAACCGGGAATTTTGACTGGGACAAGACGAGACCACATCATGTCAATTAATCTGCTTGGAATTCAATCCTTTGGACGATCTATGACTTTTATTAGAAGATAGAACGAACCTTTGGCTACCGATCAAAATCGTTCCTGGGACTTCAGGATGGATTTAGTTAATGTTATAATATGCGAGGGTAACGAACGTACAAGTTATTGATATCCTCACACTTGAGAGTGGTACTGAGCTGATGGTTGGATTCGAACCCTGGTAGCCTGACACGATACCAAATTTGGTTCTCCGATAATAGTGCCCAAGCTGGCCCTGTCACTTACCACGTCTCTTCTTCCACCACTTACCATGTCTCTACTTCCACCAAAGATATATCTGAAAAAATATTCTATTTTCTTGTCCTTCTTGAGTGATTCTATTGATAGAACTTAAATAAATTCAGGAAATATGCGCTATTTTCATGGTGTCAGAAACTTTGGGTCCAACTTTTTCTTAGATGATTCCTTATCGCCTTTGTAAACTTTGGTGTGCTAACGTTGTGGGGAACTAATTACCTGATAACGTTTTCAACATTCTTCCACCTGTTCATACCAAATCACCTAGTTATTTACTTTTTGATTCCACTATCTTGTTCTCTGATTTCTAGATTATCATTGACTACTATCACTGTTTACTACTTTTGGATGATAAAAAAATATTTTGACTTCTTCGAAATCCCTCATAGATTGACTCTCCTTCGGGAATCGGAAGTTCTAGAACTATTGCGTTTAGGATAAAATTGCAAGAAAAGCTTCTGTAGCTACTTAAGCTTACACGATTTTAATGGATTTTTGATTTTAGAAGAAAAATGCTACCCTGTTGTGAAAATCAACGAGATGAAAGATAAGTTTTCTCTCTAATTTCATCTAACTTCTTTCAGATGACCTTCATATTGATCTCAGTAGCATTAGCTACTCTAATTGTCATTATTTACGCTATTTATTATGCTCTACGGCCATGCAATCGTATTCGAAAACTTGGCGATCTGGGACTTCTTCTCGGTGATCCTGAGGTATGTATTATATGTACTGTAAAGATCTCTTCTGGTGAAAACCTCGTTTTTAAGATTTTGATTAGATTAGTCTTTGACCAATCGCAATGATCTGTTTGATGTTTATTTATTTTATCATTATTGATTATCATCTGCTACTCTGTTGGCCGATTGTTCGATTATTTGGCTAACATCCATCGAAATCCTTCGTACATTTTTTCCGCCTGGGATTTTGATTACTATATCACTCCGTTTCCAGAACAAAGAAAGATTAGTACGCTAAGCCTGTTTTTGTGCCTGCTCTAGTCCTATCGCCTTCCCAGAAGTTCCGCCCTTTTTGCACAAATCACACCTTTGCGAATGTCATATCTCTTTGACACCTTTATGTGCTGTCGGGCCTTCGACAAAATTCAACCTACCTTCATGGCGTTACGGGAGAAGCTTGTGCCACCGGGCATAATAGTTTTTGCTCATTCAGGAAGGGTGGCGGTCGTAGTAGAGAGTAATTCAAATAATTCAAGAAAAATTTCGTGATTGATCTTGTATAGAGGAAAGGAACAGCAAAGAAAGGGCAAGGAAAGCAAACTTCATCGTCACCCTCCCTCCAACTTTCTCGGCTCCCTCTAGCCCAAATACCACCCCAAGCCCCCTGCATTCACTTCCCGGTCTACAACTTATGGATGCCGAATGTGGTTAGGAATATGAAGTGCGGCGGAGCCAACGTTCTCGCAACGTCATGCTTGACGATGTCACAACGTCAAGATAACGCTTGGTATTCGTCATTTTTACATAACGTTTCCAGTGTTATCAGAAGAATGTTCAATGAATCAACGATTAAACAAATATTAGATGCGTCAGAAGAATGTCTCGTCGTCCTTAATATCATTCGGTTCAAAGGAATTAGTAGGAATTTTTGACATAGCCTTCGACGACCTCCTCTCCTTTATTGTTTTTTTTTTTTGTTCTTTCGAGGTTCCTTTTTTCATTAAGTAGCTTTATAATTCAAAGCAGCATTTCAGCTTTTTTTCTTTGATATTTTGCATGAATCTGGTGAATCCTAAAAATGAGTTCAAGTTGCTGAATTACTGCTCATTTTGTGAGACTATTATGTTGACCACACTACAGTGATTTCCTTGGGCTTCTGGTTCGGGGCGGGAAGAATTTGGGGAATTCCCCGAACTGTTGACTTGAATTTCAAGATCGATTCTACACTACCGATTTTGGTTTCTTCAAAAAAATGTATCGCCCGGAAAATATGATTCATGCCAGGGGCGGGTCAATTGAGTGGGCGTGGACAAAATTGATTGTGGGAGGCGTGTGTTTAGGCTCGTAGGGCGGGGAGTCTCATGTCTAAAAGTACGTACAATAATGAGAAAATGAGACAAAAAAGCAAAGACAAAGAACAAAAATAAGCATAAAAAACTCATAAGCAATGCATCGCCGTTTACAGTCCCCTTAGAACAGCCAAGAATGTTCTTCAACTCAGAGAAAATTTCCTACATTTCACATTTCCTCAGCTCCTTGTTTGAATTCTATTTGCAAGACTCCTTTTTAGTTGAAAGGTGTTTATCGAGAACGACAAATAACTCGACTCGCTAAACTTCGACGTATTGGCGAACTACCGCCGGTATATCCCAATGGATGGTATTGTATTGCCGAGTCAGATGAGCTGAAACCAAAAGCAGTCAGAGAAGTTACGATATTCGGTAAGACTATCTTTACCGTATGACCAGCAATTCCATTTTGAGCAGTTTATTACTCTCTATGTTCTCTGAATCAAAAGCCTTCGAATGTTCCAGGTCAATTTTTGACGCTCATAAGATCTGAAAGTGGGCAAGTGTATTTAATCGATTCCTATTGTCCACACTTAGGCGCCAATTTCAACGTAGGCGGGAAGGTCGGTCTTCAAAGCTTTCGGACAAGATTTACTTTGAATTTTTTTAAATTGGCAAGTGTAGAATAGCGAATAAGTGTCGTTTCAGGTGGTTGACGACAACTGTATACAGTGTCCTTTCCACGGATGGGTATTCTCCGGCGAAACAGGGAAATGCACACGAATACCATACGATAATGGGACAATTCCTGAGCAGGCAAAGGTAATATTACTCTGGTGTCACCCTATACGCGTTACTTGGTCGCGTTTACTGTCGAAGAGAGTGCGAGCGCGCGGTTGCTGCGCTAGACGTCGACATCTGGCCCTACCGCGCCGCGACCGCGCGCGCGCGTTGGATCGCTAGACTGCAAGTTTCGTGCTGACAAGATTAAAACTTCACATAATTTCCCGACTTTTAGGTATCCGTGTGGCCTGTCTTGGAGAGAAATCAACACATTTATGTATGGTGAGAGCTATCGCGTCTGTTTTCCATCAACCATAAAATTGTAATACTGCTCAGGTCTCAGGTATCATTGTGATGGGAATGATCCTGAATGGGAAATACCGGAAATCGATGAGATAATCAGTGGGGAGTGGACGTATGGTGGCCGCACAGAGCATGAAATCATGTGCCATTGTCAAGAGATTCCCGAAAATGGTGCCGATATCGCACATTTGAACTACCTGCACTTGACTGGACCTAACAAAGGTTTGTACTTGACACCTTTATTTCCTTATTTGATTTTTCTATGGATTCTTTTGCAAAAGTATGAATGCGCCAATAGATGACATCTTCATTCATTGGGGGTTTTGGCTCAACCCGAATATTTCGGTGTCTTAGCATGAGAACAATTTAGGCTACTGCGATAGTAATGTAACTATCCGTCTTCTACTACTGAATGTAACTAGTACTCAATAATTGTTGAACTCCCGCTCCTACGTCTACACCCCTGTCTCTGCGCGCTGAAAGAGTGAATTGTGGGACCGGACACCGTAAACTTCTGTAGAATAAAACGAAATGAATATTTCCCATCGTCTAGAGCGAAATAAAAAAAGAACGAGCCTTAGGGTCAACAAGCAGGTTTCCCCCTATCAGGAGTCATCAAGTCTCTACTTTTGAGGCCATAGTACCAAGATGGTGTTGGGAACGTGTGTTACTGAACTATTGACCAGGTCATTGGGCCTCAAGTTGGTGCAGGGCACCTCTGATTCGTCCGGATCAATCCATGATGACATTGTGGATGAGCAGGTGGCGTGAAGCAACTTTTATGACAGGATACCAATGGTAAGAGACCACGACGACAACGGAGGCGATGACTTGAATGGGGATAAAATAACTGACGATCTGCTCATCTTGCCTATACGGGGTCCAAATCTCTAAGGCTTATATTAAGGCAAGTCAGGCAGCGAAACCAAAGGAAAGGAACGATAGAGGTCCTTTTATATGAATCGCTCATACCCCTTCACCCTCCGCCTCCCGCTCCCCTTCTCCTTCACCCTCCTCGAGAGGTGTGATTGCGTTTAGAGTTTGCGTTGACCGCGTCCCGCCCCGTCGGCGTCCCCTTCAGAATCATCAATGCGGGCGAGAACGGCCCACATCAGAGTCCTATTCCTTGTTATGACTGTCTCTCTATGTGAGACATTGTTGCAGGAAACAATCTGTTCAATATCGATCTCGACAACACAAGCCCACTAATCCGGCATGTATGGGACGGTAGATGGGCTCCACAAACAGGCGACGATACGCATCTTTCAGTAATGCATCTCGACCAGTACATGACTTTTGCTGGTCACAGAATACCATTGACAAGCAGTAAACTCAGAGCCGAACAGGTGAATACTTTATTCTACTAATAATGAGCTTACTCACCAACGTTTCTTCAAAAGGCGCGTTTGTGGGCGTAGCCGCGTGCGGTTGCGTTGCAGCTGGAATTTTACCTTAGGCTGTTCTGGCGAATTTTACATTTGTGCGAACTCTTAGTGTAGTCTGAAGCTAACAAGAGTAAACACCGTTATTTCCACCCGTGAGATCGGTCCGGGATACAATCCCGAACCCTGCACGATTCTTTTCGTCACTTGTAAGCGCCCAAGCGAACGGCTTGCCAGTCCCGCAACAGAGAAATATCTTCGATTGCATTTATTGATTGTGCTTTTGTTCTGGGTTGTCATGTGATGTCCGTGTAATCGATATTGATTTCCTCAGCATGGTCCAGGAATCGTTCATATGTTGTTCGACTTTGGAGTTCTTGGCCGTGGAGTTGTGCTACAACACGTGACACCACAAGAACCGCTGCAGCAGCTTGTCCGATTCAAGATGTACTCAACGGTTCCACGATGGTTCGCCAAGTTCTTTCTCGTCAGTGAAGCTACACAGGTGATCAAGAGATTTTTGACCTCGTTAATCAATTTTTCTAATTAACGGAGGCGGAGTAGGTTCTGCAGAAGTAGCCGCGCGCGGTCGCGGCACGGCTACGCATCTTCTTTCATGTTCGCTCACGTCTGGAAATCAACTGTGAACGGAAAAATTGTGACAGGCTTTCATGAAAATTTGTAGTTCCCCATTTCAGTTCGAACGCGATATTTGGATATGGTCTAACAAGAAGTACATCAAAAGTCCGATTGTTGTCCGGAATGATGGACCAATTCAAAAACACAGAAGGTTATTGATTTTTTATACTACCGTTGAATTTTTTCTATAGGCGCTCTTCTCTATGAAAAGTATAGGCGCTACATGGCTGTGGCTGTAGTCATCATTGAGAGTCATTAGGTTCTTTGAAAATCGCAAACAATCTTCGAGCTCTTAGATAGATGGATAGATCATAACTAGTACCTCTGTAACACTGGTTGCTTGGAAGCGGGAGGTGGTCGTTTGGCGTGGCCTCACCCATTCGACACGGTTTCTGAGCTGGACTACTCGTCCAGGCAATTCACCCTCCTGACCATGCTAATTAGCCCATCCACCGTCCATCCAGCTGATATACGCCCAATCGATGACGCCACTACTATTGACGCCGAATTGCGGACCTACTTGTATTTTGTCTAATTCCATCGATTAACATGGTCAGGAGGTTGGCTTGGACGAATTGTTCAGCACCGAAACCGCGCCGAATGGGCGGCGCGATGGGAGGAGACGCGCCAGACGACATACATCCTTTGGAACCACTTCGGGACACCCCGCCCATATAACCCACATCTCCATCTCGCTCTTTGTCTTTGAATACTTCATTACTATTTATTTCAGGTGGTACTCACAATTCTACAAAGAGAACAGTCCACGATTGCTGCCCAACGGTGAAATCTCGAATCGGGCAAGATCAATTTATGATTGGTAGATTGATGTCAAACACGTACATAGAAACCGCAATAAAGATATTATTATTATTTAATTGGTCTTCTATCAATGCGATCGAGCGATCGTTCAATATCTTTGATGAATTGACATCATACGATTTAAATGAACTCTCCCAGACAGTTCCTTCTGTTGTTCATTCAGTCGATTTTGTTTTGTCATTGCCAAAGTTTACATATATATGGATTACATATGTATGGACAGCTGAACCGTGCCCGCTCGGAGAATTATACTTATTATGTTATCGTAGTACATCTAGAAACTGAATAGTCTGGGTGGCAATAATTCTAGGACTTTATCCATTCACTTTAGTGGGAAATTGGCGTAGACATACGAAGATGATCGCTCCGACTTTTCCTAATAAACCTGGGAAACTATGGGATCATACTTCGTGGTGGCCTCCACAGATTTTCATATAGACGTAACCAACACGAGAAAAGATTTAGATACTTGACCATAGGTTGAATGAACTCGGAGCAGAGACCTGTTCAATAGGTTGAAGGGTATGCAAACCTTCAAACCTTCAAACTAAGTCGATGGATTGGAAAAGCCTAAGAGGATGAAAGAGGAAGTCTATAGATTAATCAATGTCGTCTTTTTTAGAGTTACACCCTGCGTTTGACTCAATAGGATGTTGATCTAAACTTGATTAGTAGTATTGCACGCTTTTTTCTCGTATATAAGCATTCAAATTTTTCCACGATTCTGTATGGGCGTCAGATGTATGGCTTATCTACGGTCCTCATGGCAACGACTGATCTTTCCGTTCACCTGATTTACGCCATTGACTCATAGATGTCCTAGCTTACATATCTTGACGTCCCACTCATCTCCTTTAGTGCGAGAATTCTTCCTTGAGCTCTGAACTGAGGAGGTCGTACTTTACAAGAGTGTAGCTAATTTTGAGAGCGCTACGGATGGGGCTATTCCCGCCTGCAGTTTTCTTGTAGTTATGGAGAAGTTTGCAAACATTGCAACAGACCCCAGAGTCTTGCCTGGTTGTGCAATCGAAGCCATACAAACTGACATCTGGATCCATTATCTAGCATATGCCACCATTCGCATTTCTCATCATTCGAATCTACGTCCAGTTCGTCAGTTTTCTTCTGCTTTTCGGTTACGTTCAATAACTCGTTCAATCAAGCTTGTCAGTCAACTTACTGGGCGTTGTCACTCATTCTACCGGACTCACCCATTAGATGTTCACTTTTTGCCGTCGCCCTTTGCAGACGCCCATAAGGGTTATGCAGACGCCCATAAGGGTTAATGAAGGCATTCAAATGCAAATACCACTGAATCTATAACGTAGTTGCAGTGGAACCCTGGCAGATCTTACTGAAACAGAACTGAGAAGCACCACGAATTTGTATTGTACCTAAGGGCTTTTGAGAGAGTCGCAACCTCTACCTATCAGGGCCTGGGGTTCGAGGCCTGGCTTACCATGGACCGCCTACTTCACATCTTATAACACTGCAAATAGCGCCCTAGCGGAACAGAACACAATTTCAGTGTGGATTGAGATTCCTACCGTACTCCTGCTACTAATTCATGGTACTGATAGTCGTGGAAGCTCGTACAATAACATGTATTAGGTGTGTATTCGTAGTAGTGGTAGTATGAAGCAGTAGTTGAATATAGCAGTAGCAGTAGTAAGAGTGCTGTTAGGAGTGTGAGAAGAAGGAAGGGTGGCCAGCTGTGCCAGCTTGTAATAGTGCTTGGAAACATTTTCAGCCAGGGAATATAGCCTTCCAACTAAGCCGTTGGAGAAAAGGGGCACCAGGTGGGAGCAGAAAGTTGGGATGTGGGAAGGATAAAACACTCGCTTGGCCACCGAATAATTTCTATTCAGAAGTGTAAGCAGAAGTGTTCTACCATACTATCCCTGCCTAGAAAGCATCACTGCTTGTCCTAAAGGCGGCAGCCCCTTCTCCGCGTTCTGGCGCCTAATGTTAAATAAGGATGCGTCCTCCCCTCCTCCAATTTTCCCCGGAAATTGGTTCCGTTCAAAATTTCATTCGTGTTCATGTTGCCTTGGTTCATCGTAATGATGTTGGGAATCTATTTATGCATGATCGCTGTATTGTCCCTACTAGGTCTTGCTAGTGGTCTGTAGTTGAAGTTCGCTCTGTGCTCTGAGGCTCCTTCTCTTTGTAGGTTAGGTAGAAATTTCTACCTCCATGACTTACTCGCATCATTCGAGGCTGTTTCAACTTTTATCCCCTCCCTCGCTGCACTTTCCCCACTGAGAGTAACCTCTTTTTCCCACTGGATGATTTCCCACTTTCCCGTCTTGCTTGAATTTACTTTGCGACCCATACCCTCATGAGGTTTTTGTTCCATTCATCAATTTCCTATCTGGGATTCAATTATGCCGTCGAATTTCATGCAGAACCTGATATTTGAGGCTAATTGGTTTAAGAGGCAGGGTACCTTCCATCCAGCCAATCCGGAAAAGTTTGATTGCTCTGGGCAGGGGTTTTACTATCGAACCTCGTAAATGGTGCTGACAACCCTTGCCAACTATAGAGCCCACCTGTTACTCAAGCATAACTGCCTCGAATCTTACTGTTTACCGTATTCGAGACCGCGAACTTGCCTCCCTGTGAAAGTGCTTCGTGATTGCGATGTCCGTGATGTTGCGTATGTATTGTGGGCATGACGCAAAACCTCACTAAGTGATTATCTTCGAATATTTCAATTGGGTCACGCAATTTCTGACATTTACAAATACTTCGCATTGCGTGTGTTCGATTCCGATGCATTTGCAGCTTCAAGTATGTCAGAGATGGGGTTCCCTACATGTCTTTCTCGATTGTTGCCCTGTTTAATTGTATGTCAAGGCAATTCTTACATCGGAAAAGATTGCTAGATAATATTACTTTTTGTTTGTGTGTTTTTGTTGAAGGTTTGCTGGAAACCTCCGGTTCCAATCAATTATCTTCTTTTCTAAACCCACATAATAATATACCCTCTTTTTTCGCAAACGATAGCGGAAAGTCCTTAGTTAGCTGAGAGTTCTGCTTGTTCTTTGTTGTTTCATTTTTCCCCAGTACATTGCTAGTGTTTTGGGTTCATACTGAAAGGGTGCCATGATTCTTCAGAGTAAAAAAGTAACGGAGTTAAGTAAAAGAAAGTAAAGTAATGGCTAAGTGGTTTCTGCTTTTGTTCGAGGCGATTTCGATGGCTAAGATAAAAAAAAAAGCTGTAAATGACGATGTAACCCAAATGACGAATGATTGGGGACTTGATGATACTGTGGTAGTAACGTGATGTGAACCCACTTCACTATTTCCTCGAACGCCCTTGTCCTCCTCATCCGTGGACCCTCCCTCCTCGACTATGATGGTTGCCTAGTTGCTTATAATTTTTGTAATGCGAAGGCAAGTGCGCGGTGATCGAGCTGGTTGTGATCGATCCGAAGGGTCATCTCCCCTTCAGAGGGCTTTGGATGATTTATTATGTCTAACGAGCAGATCTAGCTTTGGTTGACCACGCCTGAATAGAGGCTGCTGGGTCAACCAGTTTCTGGTGAACCAGAACGTTCTGGAAGGCGAGCAAACAGCAGGCAATCGTCTGACCTCTTCCCCAGGTTGTTC